TAATACCTCCTGCTTGGGGCAAACTCATGAAAAAGATCACACCTGGTCAGAGAGTATTAAATTCTAAATAACATTCATTCAAAATTGCAACATCCTGTGAAACTTAAATCGCAAGGCCTTTTGAATTCACTAGATAAGTAATACATGAGTTTAAGAAAAATAGGGCTTTCTATTTACCTGTAAAACACACATGTACTGAGGTATAATTAAACCTTATTAAAGTGCTTCTTGTATGCCATGTCTTTAATTTTGACAAAAATTATTTAAATTTAATTGAAATAAATTTTTACTGTAACTTTGGAACACATTTCCTTTTTTAAAAGTTTATCACAGGATTACTATGATAGTTCATTATCATGATTATATTAAATTCTTGGTTTAACAAAACAAAGGTGTCATTTTTTAAATTAATTAAGTTGCTTTATATGCTATTTTATATATATTTTAATAAAAAAAATGTTCACTGCATTATTAACTAAACTCAACTGACACCATAAATCTATACGAGGCTTAAGTTAATGGTGAAAATTGTCCAGTAACCATAAAATATATCTGAAACATTCAAAAAATTTTGAATAACATTGAAAATAGAATGTAGGACAGAAAGTCACAGGACAACAGTCACGGACAAAAAGTCACGGACAAAAAGTCACAGGACAAAAAGTCACAATTCAGTTTTGAGATTATTTTTCTTTGAACAAGAAAAAACTAATTTAAAAAGAAATATTTTGGTTTTTCTTCTTAAACTATTATTTATAAAGCAACTATGTAATTAAAATTTATGCAATAAATATTAATAATGATCAAATAATTGCTATGAAAACAAAATGTCAAAGAGGCTTGATCCTTAAATGGCTTCATGGTGCCAAGAAATATATCCTTTGCACGATTAAAATTTAATAAATTTTCATTTATCAAGGCTTATGAACAATTTCCTAAACTTAAAAATGAATATATGTAATAAAAAGAAAATATTTCAAGATCTTTCTCTTATATATTCAAACAATTGTCAACAAACTATTTGTGACTTTTTGTCCTGTGACTTTTCGTCCTATCAAATTTGTGACTTTATGTCCTGTGACTTTTTGTCCTGTGACTTTCTGTCCGTTTACCTGAAAATATTAGTTGCAATTCAGTTTTGAGATTATTTGATCAGCTTGTTTTATTTTTATTTTAAAGGTGATATATATGTATGTATATAAGTGTTGATGAATATGGTGATGAAGTTATATTATGTTTATTGTGAAATTTTGGTTTCAATGCTATATTGAATACATTTTTAATTTCAAATTGTTGTTCAAATTTCTAGCCAGGGGAAATAGCTGTTGTTAAAAACAGTTCCTAAATTGATGAAATACAATAGATAGATACAAAAAATAGGTCTAGGTTGGTTAAGACTTGGTCGAGTATGGTTCAGACTAGGTCGAGTATGGTTCAGACTAGGTCGAGTATGGTTCAGACTAGGTCAAGCATGGTTCAGACTAGGTCGAGCATGGTTCAGACGCATTTAAAATGGTTAAGTACTGGTCGAGTAAGGGTCTAGTACAAGTTCAGACTGTTAAGTATGGTTCAGACTACAGTCGAGTATTATCAAGTAAATTTCAGACCAATTCAGACTGGTCGAGTAAAAATCAGTACAGTCGAGTACAGATATAGGCCATTTCAGACTTTTACTGGTTTGTAGTGTATGACGTTGGCGTCGTCGTCGTCGTCGTCCGGCGTCGTCCGAAGACACTTGGTTTTCGCACTCTAACTTTAGTTTAAGTGAATGGATCTTTATGAAATTTTACCACAAGGTTCAATACCACAAAAGGAAGGTTGGGATTGATTTTGGGGGTTATGGTAATAACAGTAAAGGTATTAGGGGCCAAAAAGGGGCCAAAAATAAGCATTTTTGTAACTTCCAGACATAACTTGTGTGTTAGTGTATGGATCTCTCTGACATTGTACCACAAGGTTCCATATCACTAAAGGAATGCTGAGATTGATTTTGGGGGTAATTGCCTCCAAATTTTAGGAATTAGGGGCCAAAAAAGGGGCAAAAAACAAGCATGTTTCTAGTTTCATGACAATAACTTGTGTGTAAGTGTATGGATCTTTCTGAAATTGTACTACAAGGTTCCATATCACAAAGGGAAAGCTGGGTTTGAGTTTGGGGGTATTTGCCCTAAATGTTTAGGAATTTGGGGCCAAAAAGGGGCCAAAAAACACATTTTTTTCTAGTTTCCAGACAATAACTTGTGTTCAAGTGTATGGATCTCTCTGAAATTGTATTGCAAGGTACCATACCACAAAGGGAAGGCTGGGATTGAGTTTGGGGGTAATGAATCATGATGGGGGTTCAAAAAATTTTGGGGGGGGGATTTATTTTTTTTTCCTTTTTTACTCTTTTCCTTTTTTGTTTCTTTTAAAATTTTCCATTTTAAGTTGGTTATTTCTGATTTATATTTAAAATCAAATAATAATGATATGGTAGGAGATACACACCAAACAGGATGTGTAAATTATTATATAATAAGTATTGTGCAATAGCAAGAAATTTTCAATTGCACAGTATTGCACAATAGCAAGAAATCTTCAATTGCACAGTATTGCGCAATAGCAAGAAATCTTCAATTGCACAGTATTGCGCAATAGCAAGAAATATCCAATAGCACAATATTGCGCAATAGCAAGAAATTGTCAATTGTACAGTATTGCGCAATAGCAAGAAATATTTAATAGCACAGGATTGTGCAAAAGAAGATACTTCCTATAAATTGCTTATTTCTTGACCAATTTGAATGGGGTTTTATTCTTGATTTCATGGGGTTTTTTTAATATGCTGAATCTAACCGTGTATTTAGTTTTTGGATTTTGGGCCCCGTTTTTAAATTGGTCCACATTGAGGTCCAAAGGGTCCAAAATTAAACTTTGTTTGATTTCATCAAAAATTGAATTATTGGGGTTCTTTGATATGCCGAATCTAACTGTGTATTTAGATTCTTAAATTTTGGTTCCGTTTTCAAATTGGTCTACATTAAGGTCCAAAGGGTCCAAAATTAAACTTAGTTTGATTTTAACAAAAATTGAATTCTTAGGGTTCTTTGATATGCTGAATCTAAACATGTATTTAGATTTTTGATTATGGGCCCAGTTTTCAAGTTGGTCCAAATCGGGGTCCAAAATTAAACTTTGTTTGATTTCAACAAACATTGAATATATGGGGTTCTTTGATATGCTGAATCTAACCATGTATTTAGATTTTTGATTTTTGGGCCCCGTTATCAACTTTGTCCACATTGAGGTCAAAAGGGTCCAAATTTAAACTTTGTTTGATTTCATCAAAAATTGAATTATTGGGGTTCTTTGATATGCCGAATCTAACCGTGTATTTAGATTCTTAATTTTTGGTTCCGTTTTCAAATTGGTCTACATTAAGGTCCAAAGGGTCCAAAATTAAACTTAGTTTGATTTTAACAAAAATTGAATTCTTAGGGTTCTTTGATATGCTGAATCTAAACATGTATTTAGATTTTTGATTATGGGCCCAGTTTTCAAGTTGGTCCAAATCGGGGTCCAAAATTAAACTTTGTTTGATTTCAACAAAAATTGAATATATGGGGTTCTTTGATATGCTGAATCTAACCATGTATTGAGATTTTTGATTTTTGGGCCCCGTTATCAACTTTGTCCACATTGAGGTCAAAAGGGTCCAAAATTAAACTTTGTTTGATTTCATCAAAAATTGAATTCTTGGGGTTCTTTGATATGCTGAATCTAACCATGTATTTAGATTTTGGATATTGGACCATAATAGGTGAATGTCCAATTTAAAATTTTTAAGTTCTTAGACCACATTCAATCTGTGTTAGAAACCTATGCTGTGTCAAATATTTAATCACAATCCAAATCCAAAGCTGTATCAAGCTTGAATGTTGTGTCCATACTTCCCCCAACTGTTCAGGGTTCGACCTCTGCGGTCGTATCAAGCTGCGCCCTGCGGAGCATTTTATTTGTAATGTTAAATTCTCTCTTATTATAAGTAATAGGATAACTATATTTGGTATGTGCGTACCTTGCAAGGTCCTCATGCCCGTCAGACAGTTTTCACTTGACCTCGACCTCATTTCATGGATCAGTGAACAAGGTTAAGTTTTCGTGGTCAAGTCCATATCTCAGATACTATAAGCAATAGGTCTAGTATATTCGGTGTATGGAAGGACTGTAAGGTGTACATGTCCAACTGGCAGGTGTCATCTGACCTTGACCTCATTTTCATGGTTCAGTGGTTATAGTTAAGTTTTTGTGTTTTGGTCTGTTTTTCTTATACTGTATGCAATAGGTCTACTATATTTGGTGTATGGAATGATTGTAAGGTGTACATGTCTAGCTGGCAGGTGTCATCTGACCTTGACCTCATTTTCATGGTTCAGTGGTCAAAGTTAAGTTTTTGAGTTTTGGTCTTTCTTTCTAATACTGCATGCAATAGGTCAGCTATATTTGGTGTATGGAATGATTGTAAGGTGTACATGTCTAGCTGGCAGGTGTCATCTTACCTTGACCTCATTTTCATGGTTCAGTGGTCAAAGTTAAGTTTTTGAGTTTTGGTCTTTTTTTCTAATACTATATGCAATAGTTCAACTATATTTGGTGCATGGAAATATTTTATGATCTATATGTCAGTCACGCAGGTTTTATTTGACCTTGACCTCATTTTCAAGGTTCATTGCTCGGTGTTAAGTTTTTGTGTTTTGGTCTGTTTTTCTTAAACTATAAGCAATAGGTCAACTATATTTGTTGTATGGAAGAATTGTTAGCTGTACATGCCTGCCTAGCATGGTTCATCTGACCTTGACCTCATTTTCATGGTTCATTGGTCAATGTTTAGTTTACTTGGTTAATGTTAAGTTTATGTGACAGTTGTAATAAAGCTTTATATTTAGGACTATCAACATAATATCAATGATTAGTAAAGAAGGCGAGACATTTCAGCGTGTGCACTCTTGTTTTAATAACAGGTGTATCATTTGGACAGACAACATTACTAGGGGCAACAACTTCTGCACCAGCAACTAGATTATCATTTGGAGTAACAACTCAACCTGCAACTGATTTAACCATGGGTGGGTTAGCTAAAACCACCACAGGTCCAACATTAGGTAGAATTGCACAAGCAAAGCCTGGTTTTAGTCTTGGAGGTACAATAAGTCAGCCAGCTACAGGACTTGGTGGGACCCCACAAACATCAACTGGATTTGGACTAGGTGGAACTACACCATTACAAACTGGTCTTACCATCGGTGCTGCTGGAATCAATATTGGACAAGCTACAAGTGGTATGTTTAAAAAAATGATCATGTGCCTGGGTAACATATACAGTCGACCTCGTTATCTCGAAGTCAGCCAGGCCAGAGAAATATTTCAAGGATATCTGTAGTTCGACTCAAATAAAACCGAAAGTTTGACAGACCAAGGGACACAACTCTTGCTTAGCTTAGTAAGGCTAAAATAAATCGGGATGGATATGGGTAGGGGATTGATATTCTGGTCTCAGATGGATGTGTTTGAATGTTATGGTCTTTTATTAGTCTCCTACCGACGAAGTGGAAGGGGACTTTAGGTTTGCACTTCGTCCGTCTGTCCGTTTGTTCATCTGTCGGTCTGTCCATCCGTCAGTCCTACAAATCAGCTTTCCACACTTTTTTTCTTCGTTCTTGAAGATATTGATTTGATATTTGGTATATAGTTTTATCATGACAAGTTATAGATCAAGTTCAAATTTTGTTCCGGTCTGATGATTTAGTCCAGAGTTATGGACCATCATAACTCTGGACCATATTTAATGTTAGAATACTATGTTAAACCATATTTCTGTACAAAGGGAGATAACTCATTTTTTAAAAGATATTCTTTGTTAAATTATTTGAAGAATTTTTTGGCAGGTTTGTTTGTTATTTAGTATAAACTAATTTTCTGAATGCTATATATATAAAAAAAAAATTTGAAGAGAAATCCTTTAATTAGATAATAATCTATTTTTATTAATGTATATATTTCAATACATTACATTGTGTAGATAAAAGTTGTTGACATTTTATAGATAAGTTACAAATCTATATTTGATTATAATTTGAAAATAGATATACACTGTATTACATCATATCTAATTTTAGAGAACTATTAATCATATCTAATGTTTTTTTCACTCATATAATCAGTTTTCCACACTGTTTTTAGTCGTGCTTGAAGATATTGACATGATATTTTCTTTTGTTTACACCATGACAAGTAATAGAACAAGTTAGCATTTTGTTCCAGTAAAATGAATTTTTACCCGGTAGGGGACTATGTATTGCCATGCAATACTCTCAGAATGCTTGTTATTATAATAACATTTTATGTTTTCGTCTCTTATTTATTTCTTTGTACAGTTACAATTGTTTCCTGTGGTTTTCAGCCGAGAGAGTAATTTCCAATCGATCTTAGCGTTATTTAAAGTTGACAAACTTGTTCATTCTCGTATACAAGAAATTTTAGAAAATTTTGATTTCTTTTCTTTTTCTTTTCTTTTAATCTTTTTCTGCACGAGAAAATACAAAAAGAATAAAGAAGCCGATTGAGTAGTTTTTAGTTGATCATCAATGGAAGTCTTAATTCCTTCTTTATACACAACCAAGCTCATTAGTGTATGATTACAGTTAATTGTTTTTAAAGCATTTTAAATAATTTTTCATAAACTATAACAGTGTATCACTAATTATTTATCATGGTGATCAAGGATAATCTTAGGTAAACACTTGTGGAAAAAGAATGTCATAAATCAATACAGTGATCAGTGACCGGAAATTTAATTACACATGTATTGTCAGATTAACTCTTCAATCCATTTAAATCCCTGAGGTCATGTTTTGACATTTGTTTATTAGTTCGAGATAAATAACGAATGTTGAATGCTTTTGTTAACGTTGGGACCATAAATTTAGTTCGAGTCAACTGAAATTTCGACTCATCCAATTTCGACTCATCAGGAGTCGAAATACATATATTTATACGGAACAATGTTTCGGGACCATGAGAAAACTTCGACTCATCCAAAATTTCGGGTCAACCAGGTACCCTAGTTCGAGACAACAGTTAACTGTATTTAAAATGCGCTTAAACAGCCAAATAAAGTGTAATAAATGTAGGGCATTTGCATAGTTTCTTATCAAATGTTTACATTGTTTCTTGTTTTTGCAATGTATTACACAGCATTTATTAGAATAAGCAAACACATGAAAAAGGAATATACATGTATGCAGTTAGCTGTTATTAGAAAAAAAGCTGAAAAAAATAATAGAAGAAAATTTAAAAAATGTTTTAAAAAACAATATTTATTATACTGTCCATTTGAAAATTTGATATGCCAACTTGCATAGTAAGTCAAACCTTACTTTCTTGAAAGAACCTGCAGATTTAAACTCCAAAAGTATAGGAACTCTTCTCAATGTCTGATATCATAAATTTGACAAAATATGAGAATACTACAAAAGTATTCACCTTATTTATATCAAAGTTAATAGACAACTCAGGAATAAGAAACACATATTTTCTATCTTTATTAGATGGATCTAGTATATTTGGTGCCAAACCACAAGTTACAGGTCTGGGAGGTGTTGATCCAAAGACTTCAGCGGTTACATCTGGTAAGGGTTGCTATGACGATCAACCACGGAATAAAAGCAAAATTTTTATTTTTAGTTAATTGTGAAAAAATGCATAAGATTTAGACAATGATAAGGTGTCTTGATATTATACAACCCTGTTTTTTAGAGAGAAAATCATTTCAAGTGATTCAAAAGTAGTTTCACCCCGTTTATTGTTTTGTGACATATATGTTACATAGCTGACTTTACTCTGGGTTGTTTATATAAGTATTACATTTGTGAACAAGAGATAACACTTTATTTTCAAAAAGTGCTTGTTATATGAGGAGAAAATGAATTTTTCCTCACTACTAAATTATTAAGTAATTATTTCTTGAACATTTTTGTTCACAAATATTGATTATAAGTATATGAGAGCTACACGTGATTCACAAATATGTCCTTCTTTCATATTTAACATGTGGTGGTCATATGTATTTCAATTTTACCTGAATTAATAAGGAATAGAAAGTGGAATAAGTTTATAGTAATGGAACTGCATATAACTTGTTGAGAACTAAACACACCAACAAATTTAAACTATTATCTAAATGAAAGACAATGAAAAAGTAATATCTATCTATCATAATAGCTTTTCTTAAAATAAGTTTCGCCAGACATTTATTTGGATTTTATTTAAACAACCATTATATTTTTATGCCCCCGCTGTAGCAGAGGGGGCATTAAAGGTGTGGGACCACCAATTCAAAATCCCTATCTATTCAACAAAATTTTGAAATTTTCACAGCTTTCTTAATATTTTACCTTAAGTTTAACTTCATAGAAACCAAGTATATCCTGAATTGTACATGTATCACCTTTCTATATGCCAATTTTCAACCCATGTTCAAAGTCTTGTAAGAAAAAACTGCCTTTCAGAAGCCAAGTACTACTAAGAATAACCCCTGGTTTTCTGGAAATCTTAAATTAGTATACTATGGAGCGCATTAATCCTCAATTTTTAATGCAAACTCATAGACAAGTAAATTTTGGCTCAAATTGGCCTAAATATATTTCTCTTTCACCAAAGTTTCATTTTTGCAAATTTGTTAGTTAGTTTAATATAAATAAGAAGATGTAGTATGAGTGCCAATGAGACAACTATCCATCCAAGTCACAATGTGTAAAAAGTAAACAATTATAGGTCAAAGTACGGCCTTCAACACGGAGCCTTGGCTCACACTGAACAGCAAGCTATAAAGGGCCCCAAAAAGACTAGTGTTAAACACGTACAATTCAAACAGGAAAACCAATGGTCTAATCTATATAAAAAACGAGAAACAAGAAACACTTATGAACCACACCAACAAACAACAACCACTGAACAACAGGCTCCTGACTTAGGACAGGTGCATAAAAATGCAGCGGGTTTAAATGTTTTAACAGGCGCCAACCTTCACCCTAACCGTGTTTTTAGATTTTTAATTTTGGGTCCCGTTTTTTAAATTGGTCTACATCAAGGTCCAAAGAGTCCAAAATTAAACTTAGTTTGATTTTAACAAAAATTGAATTCTTGTGGTTCTTTGATATGCTGAATCTAAACATGTGTTTAGATTTTTGATTATGGGCCCAGTTTTCAAGTTTGTCCAAGTTGGGGTCCAAAATTAAACTTTGTTTGATTTCAACAAAAATTGAATATATGGGGTTCTTTGATATGCTGAATCTAACCATGTATTTTGATTTTGGACATTGGACCATAATAGGTAAATTAAAAAAAAATCAAGTTCTTAGACCACATTCTTTCTGTGTCAGAAACCTATGGTGTGTCAAATATTTAATCACAATCCAAATTCAGAGCTGTATCAAGCTTGAATGTTGTGTCCATACTTGCCCCAACTGTTCAGGGTTCGACCTCTGCGGTCGTATCAAGCTGCGCCCAGCGAAGCATTTTATTTTTATATGAATGCATATTGTAAGGGTGGGAAAAGCTAAAAATAGCACAAATTCAGGTTAAAGGCTCTAATTTTGCAATATGTGACTTTTTTGCCAAAAAAAGGTTGAAATGTGGCTACTTGCATTATGTACATATTAGTATGGAATACATAATCATTGGAGTCTTAAGAAAATAGTTTTGATAAAAACAAACTAATAATGTGCAATGGGATTAGCTGTCGTTAATGTCTTCTCAGTTTCCTAATTTTTATATGTCAACATTATATAAACATTGTTAAAGAACTTATTGTCAGACACATACTTAACTAAAGGGAATAACAAATGTATAACCTCTTATAACTTGAAAAAAAAGATTGAGATAAAATTTGAAGGATTTTAAAATGTCACTTAAATTGTACAGTCAAACATTTCAAAATATGAAGTCTTATTTAAAAAATTCGTAATCTAGAGAAAAAGTAATATTAACTTGGCTAAATATGAATACAAGCAGCTGTCAGGTATATACATGTTCTTTACATTTTTGTGTATATATATAATGTATTAGTGTGGAAAATGCTCTTTTGGGTAGCAAAGAAGAAAAAATCAAGTGAATTAGTATATTTTCAATATTTCAGGTAATCCAAATGTCACCTCATTACCGAAATGTTCACTGACAGACCCTCTTATACTAAAAGAGAAAAGGAACACAACTGCAAAAAATGTATATGAGTTACAGGTAAATACATAAGTTTTAATTCCAAAAAGTGAAATTAACCTGATCAAATTTACCTGCCACTTATACCATAAAAGTTATTGTCTGCAAATATATGATACATTTTACAGACTTTCATGTGAACTACATGAAAAATATACATTTACATCAATTTTGGCAGGTGTACAGATGTTCATTAAGAATAAGAACACTTCTGTCCAATATATTTACGGTATTTCATAATGTTCAAATGAATTGATAAATACAAATTGGAAGGTGCTCATTGACACATATAAAATCATATTATATCCATAGATTGACTCAAATTCACAAGTTATGTAAAGATGAGCTATAAATTTACATACATTTTCCATGATAATCAATCTAATCAAAGTTTACAGACTCACATAAATGCTTTAGTATTCTAGACAGTTTGAGAGACTGCAGTTAATGAAGAATTTACAACCAGAGTAAATTCCGTCAAATGTTTGTTTTGTAGTAGATGAAATGTGCCAATGATGTTTTGAAGTTCCTTGGCTTTCAATACGGTTGTATTTCAATATGGTTGTATTTTCTGGTCTTGACTTGTACAACTTATTTTTGGTTAAGAAGACGTCCAATTGCCTGACACAAGAAATGTTTTTGTGTCTCGCCTTGACGGAGTCAAAAAGCGAGACATATGTATGCTGTTTCCGGCGGCAGCGGTGGCGTCAACAATGTATTAGTTTGTGATTAGGTCAGTTTATGGTGAACCACTAGTGGTAGGTCAATGATATTTGGTATGCAGTTGTATTAGCATTGGCACATCTTATTACTGTAGTCTTGTTTCTGGGCAATAAACACACAAGAAACAATCTAAGGGGTACGGATTCTTTATTTCGTAGTTTATACTATAATCCAAAATAAATACCCTGTAATAACAATACATTATATTAATGGATGTAATACAATTAAGTAACTATATAAAAGATTTAAAACATTATGTTAACAATTATGAACAAGGAAACTGTTTACTTTTCCAAGCATTTCAATAATAAAAGAATACTGTATAATTTCATGAAGTCGGAAATAGTGATCTCCAATTCTATTGTCTCATAAACACATCTAAATACCAAATCTAATCATAATGCATATGTCGGTGCATTAGTAACACATTATAACAGTAATGCAATGAACTGTTAAATACCAAATTTAAATAAGCATATTTAAAAATAACATATACATGCAAAGCAAGAACATACGTGCAAACAAAGCATAAAGCACTTTCTAAAGCAGACAATACAATAAGCATAACGCACATAGATTCAACATAACATAACCTACCTCACAGGTATTTGTGAAGGCTTGAAATACAATATTCAAATCACATCAGGTTGATGCCAATATGGTGCATCATCAACATGGTAGATACCTGCAGTACAAATATTAAATTCATAACTAACCTATTCTGTATGGAGATTATTTTGCCCCACTCCCTCAGTCATGGTCTATTGACTTTGAAACTCTTGCTTAGATATTTGTCTCGCCTTGACGGGGTCAAAAAGCGAGACATAGGTATGCTGTTTCCGGCGACGGCGGCATCAACAATATATTAGTTTGTGATTAGGTCTAGTTTATGGTGAACAACTAGTGGTAGGTCAATGATATTTTGTATGCAGTTGTATAAGCATTGGCACATCTCATTTCCGTGGAGATTATTTGGCACTGCCCCCTCAGTCATGGTCTATTGACCTTGAAAATTTTGCTTAGTTTACATGTATTAGTTTGTGATTAGGTCAGTTCAAGGGGAACCATTAGTGGTAGGCCAATGTTAATTGGTATTCAATTGTATAAGCATTAGCACATCTCATTTCCATGGAGAATATTTGGCCCCGTCCCCTCAGTCATGGTCTATTGACTTTGAAACATTTGCTTAGTTTATATGTATTAGTTTGTGATTAGATCAGTTTAAGATGAACTGCTAATGTTAAGTCAATGATATTTGGTATGCAAATTTATTGGCATTTGGAAGTCTTATTTCCATGGAGATTATAAATTAAAGCCCCACCCCCTCATCATGGTTCATTGACTTTGAAACTTTTACATAGTTTCAAGTTAATGTTTGTGTTTAGGTTTGTTTAAAGGGAACGACTTATGATAAGTCAATGATATTTGGTATGCAGTTGTATTAACATTGGCAGATCTCATTTCCATGGAGATTGTTCAGCTATGTACCTTCAGTCATGGTTCATCGACTTTGAATATTTGCATAACTTGCATATTAAAGTATTGCTATTTTAATTTCAAAATTTGCATTATCAAAATTACAAAAAGGCGAGACATATCTCTGTGATAACAGGTTATATGTATTATTTTGTGATTAGGTCAGTTTAAGGGGAACCGTTAGTGGTAGGTCAATGATAATTGGTATGCAGTTGTATAAGCATTAACACATCTCATTTTTGTCTCGCTTTGATGGAGTCAAAATGGAGACATAGGTATGCTGTTTTTCGGAGTCGGTGTTGACGGTGGCGGCGTCAACAATGTACTAGTTTGTGATAAGGTCTAGTTTATGGTGAATCACTAGTGGTAGGTCAGTGATATTTGGTATGCAGTTGTATTAGCATTGGTACATCTCATTACCATGGAGGTCATTTGGCCCCGTCCTCTCAGTCATGGTTAATTGACTTTAAAACTTTGCTTAGTTTACATGTATTAGTTTGTGATTAGGTCAGTTTATGGGGAACCACTAGTGGTAGGTCAATAATATTTGGTATGCAGTTGTATAAGCATTGGCACATCTCATTACCATGGAGATTATATGGCCATGCCTCTACAGTCATGATCTATTGACTTTGAAACTTTGCTAAGTTTACATGTATTAGTTTGTGATTAGGTCAGTTTAAGATCAAACATTAATGTTAAGTCAATGATATTTGGTATGCAAATATATTGGCATTTGCAAGTTTCATTTCCATGGAGATTATACAACCTCATCCCCTCATTATGGTTCAAAGACTTTGAAACTTTTACATAGTTTACAAGTAAATGTTTGTGTTTAGGTTTTTTTAAAGGGAACGACTAATGAAAAGTCAATGGTATTTGGTATGCAGTTGTATTAACATTGGCACATCTCATTTCCATGGAGATTGTTTAGCCCTGTACCTTCAGTCATGGTTCATTGACTTTGAATATTTGCATAACTTACATGTTCAAGTTTAGCTATTTTAATTTCAACATTTGCATTATCAAAATAACAAATAGGCGAGACATCTCTGTGTTAACATTTTATTTAATAAAATCATTACTTGTTCCTGACTTAGGACAAGCAAATACAGAAAATGACTGGATTTAAAATGTAAACAAGTGCTCAAAACCCAACCCCTGACCAGAGATAATTGTGTAACAGCACAACATAAGAACAAAATCAGTTAATGAAGGATTTTGAACCGCTTTCAAATATGATAACAACTATAACAGTTCATGATTGATTGTTGGGTTAGTGTTGCTCAAATTTAAGTTTCCGAGGAGACTTAAGTGTTAATACCTGCCAACTTTCAAAATCTACATTGGATATATTTAAACTATTCTAAATTTTTATTCAATACATATAGTAGTTTTGGCATAATTTGATTTTTCTCTCGTTAAAGTTTCGGTTTGGCAGCACGTGCCAGTAATCAACAGGTAATAAAATCAGACCCATGAAGTAATAAAGAAACATGGTAATTACATGGTTATTATATAATTACACCTTTTTGTTTGTCTTGCATGATCTTGTTATTGAATGTGTTTTATTTACATTGGATTTTTGTTATGGTTTTCTGTTTGTTTGGTGTTTCTGCTTGAATGTATTTTATTTTTGTAGGATTTTTTTTTTTATTTTGTGTTTGTTTTCTGCTGGAATACTAGTAAATATATATATATATTATATATATATATACAAGTGTGGACACAGATCAGTGTGGATAGTATGATTGGATGTTTGACAGTGTTTTATATGACAAAAGGAGTTCTATGTTTTATGTTTTCTATGTATTAACTGTGTTGCACAATGACAACCAACATGAGCATTAGGGTTGTTGTTTATGCAATATTTAGTTTTTTATGTTCAACACGGGCATGGAAGAGATACTGATTGCATTAATTACCAAATGATTATGATAGAATATATATGTTCCACATCTTTGATTTTGGATACATTTTGTAGCTAGGAGAGGAACACATAATAGGTTCATTTTTTTCTTAATGTGATTTTTTTATATGGGAGATGGTATCTGAGAACATGTATTTGCTTACTATTTGTATGGTTCTATTTATATCACTTTGTGGGGGATTGTCAGTATCATAAGTAAAAGATTTATGTTAAATGTGGAAATTGTTTCTCAGTTTAGAAGACATTTAATGTTTTTTAGTAATGACAATGTCTGACATGATGATTGGGGCTAGATGAGCTAGAAAGTGAATTTCTGTGTTATTTTTTATTAATTCTTTGAAAATATCTCCTCCAAAGCTGGTCAAAGCAAAAAAAAGTTTTGACCAGTATGAAAATGATATCAACAAAAGAACCTTTGTGAGCATGCTTCAAAGACTCATAACTAACTACAGAAGTCATATGATAAAATGTCAAGTGGATATAATGAACATCTACTTAATATGTCTAAATATCTAAAAAGTTTTAGTATTCAATATGAAAAAGCTATTGCAAAAGTATTCTCTTTTCAGTTTTTTTTGTTATATGGATACAAATATAAGTGATACCAATACAGTAAGGCAGTTTTGTTATGGTATGAAAGTGTAGTAATTAACATTTACTGTTAATTCACACAAATTAAGAAATAAACAAATGAATGATAAATGTTGAACATGTACAATGAAATATATTTTAGAAATCAATTAGGCCAGATAGGCCTTATAAATTTTGGTCTTTTTCTTAACATACTGAACGACCATTTACACTCAGGACTGAGTCGCCAGTAGGCGGTACAGATGTAAAAAAATAAAGTGTAACAAAAGAACCTAGCATCATATTGCTAGTAGCGCCAGTAGCATTGTTTGGTGAATTTGTGCTTTTTTTTTTAGTTTGGCTAATGGACAAAAAATGTTTGGTTCAAATCTAAATAAAATGCTTTTATCTCCCTATTACTTACATTGTACATAGAATGGATACTACTTTGACAATTCCTTGTACATGAGAGTTGTCTGTCAAATCTTTATTTCACAAAGAATGAATTGCATAACAATGAACTGAGCTCAAAGCAAAGCACTTTAATAATACACTTAGACAATGAGCTCAATCCAGTGATATACTTTGTACTACAGGTCCTTCATGAACATCCTACTGGCCAAAACCATATCTCACAAACATTACATACTACTTGGTTGGATCAGAAGTCCTGAAAAAGACATGAACTTTATTAACATATTTTAAGTATATACACCGGTTAAAACTTTCACAAATTTGTGGTAAAATCATTCAGTATCTAGCAACTATCAATCGCTTCATGCACAAGTTGATATAGGTTGAGTACCCCTCTGTCAGAAATAAGAACATACCTCCACCTAATTTTAGTTAACTGATGAAGAAACATTCAAAACTATAAAATGTTGTCTAATAGACTAGCTGCAATGCATCCCAGTTTTCTAAAATGGTAGGTGGAACCTAAAACTCAAAAGATTTTAAACTATGCATTTTAAATATTGCAAATATACATGCAAAAATAATAATTCTAAAAAATTCGCTATATTTTTCCTTATTTTGTCTTTTGTTCTTGACTGTATATTGACCTCTAGATGTCTTTCAATTACATCCAGTTTGGCATGGGTTGATGTTTGATTGTTGTACATGTTATATATCGACGTGGATTTGGTTTATATAAATTAGGCGTGAAATAATTTTGGTTAACTGAAATCCTTTAACTTACTTCCAAATTAATGTTAATACTGAGGGAAAAAATTACATTGCTAAATAACCACTTCAAAACACATGCAAACTTTTTGAGAGGAAGCTCTGAATATTTGACACAACATAGGTTTCTGACACAGAATGAATGTGGTCTAAGAACTTAAAAAATTTTAATTTACCTATTATGGTCCTATATCCAAAATCTAAATACATGGTTAGATTCAACATATCAAAGGATCCAAAGAATTCAATTTTTGATGAAATCAAACAAAGTTTTATTTTGGACCCTTTTGACCTCAATGTGGACCAATTTGATAACGGGGCCCAAAAATCAAAATACATGGTTAGATTCAGCATATCAAAGAACCCCATATATTCAATTTTTGTTGAAATCAAACAAAGTTTAATTTTGGACCCCAACTTGGACCAACTTGAAAACTGGGCCCATAATCAAAAATCTAAACACATGTTTAGATTCAGCATATCAAAGAACCCCAAGAATTCAATTTTTGTAAAAATCAAACTAAGTTTAATTTTGGACCCTTTAGACCTTAATGTAGACCAATTTAATTCATTCTGTGTCAGAAACCTATGCTGTGTCAAATGTTTAATCACAATCCAAATTCAGAGCTGTTTCAAGTTTGAATGTAGTATCCATACTTGGTCATACTTGGCCTTACTGTTCATGGTTCAACCTCTGTGGTTGTATCAAGCTGGTCCCCACGGAGCATTTTACTTTTTATTGTTTTGACCTTATGGACTATACATGGAGTACCTTTTTTTACTTACAGGATAGTGTCAGGCAGTTGTCAGATGAGGAACGTCATGAGCTTATCAAAAAATTGATTGAGAAAGATCAACAATTTGTGTATGACAACCTGGGTGGATCAACTAATGAACAAGAGAGAATTAATGTCAGACAAACGTGTCCTGAACTAGTGTAGGTGCTTTGATTGTAGAGAAATGCCAAAAATGAGAAAAAGTTTGTTATATCGGGTGACCAAGAGACACTTTCTGAAAAGGGAGGTATATAGTGATGGAAAAGTCAGTCTGTTTGTTGTCTTTCCATCCCACTTTTGTATCTGAAACTGTCTATGAACACCCTGACAGAATTTTGTGAAACTTTCAATGGATCTTACTCACATGATACTCTTTTGCACCTCCTATTTTTTTCTTTATCAAATAATGTTTGGTTATATTCATTTATTGTACTGCACAATTGTTTCTGCTTTTCCTTCTTTACCCCTAATAAGAATTTAATGAATAAAAACTTATCTATGTAATGCCATTGTGTACATTTTAATTTGGCTTTTTTATAAACTTATTACTGGGATGTTTCCTTAGCAAATCATGAACTTTGCTATTGCTTTTTGTCTAACCTGACCAAAGTAGCCGAGGCAATACATAGGCATGCTATATCCGGTGGCTGCTGCTTTGACTTTGTAAACAAGTTTGAGATTAGGTAAATGTAAACGGAACCACTAATAATGATAATTGGTATGCAGTTGTATTAGCATTGGCACAACTCATTTCATGGGGAGATTTTTTAGCCTCACCCTCTGTCATAGTCTAATGACCTTGAACCTTTCATTTGATTGTTATATTGTTGGTTGCTTAATGTCCAGTAGATTAAATGTTATAAAGTATGTGATTACGTCAGTTTAAGAAGAACCATTAATGTTAAGTCAATGATATTTGTTATGCAGTTGTACTAGCATTGACCCATCCCATATCCGTGTAGATTATCTGGGCCCGTCTCCTTTTTGAGGCCCTTCATTTTCAGTCATGGCTCATTGACTTTTAATGATTTGCAAAGATTAAGGTATTGTCCTCTTAATTTCAACATTTGCATTTTACTATCAAAATAACATACAGGCACCTACGTTTTAATATTGTATGTATATTGTGTCATAGATCAAACTTATTTGTATATATAGTGTATGTTTACTTGTTTTTGTTTAAATGTCTTTTCGATCGAGTTAAGCCATTTCAATTGATATTTTATAGTGTGTCTTTTTATGTTGTAATGTTACACTACTCTCACATGTTAGGGTGAAGGTTGGTGCATGTTAAAACGTTGAAACTCACTGCATTTTTATGCATCTGTCCTAAGTCAGGAGCCTGTTGTTCAGTGGTTGTCGTTTGTTGGTGTGGTTCATAGGTGTTTTTGGTTTCTCGTTTTTTATATAGATTAGACCGTAGGTTTTTCCTGTTTGAATTGTTTTACACTAGTCATATTGGGACCCTTTATAGCTTGCTGTTCGGTGTGAGCCAAGGCTCCGTGTTGAAGGACGTACTTTGACCTATAATTGTTAACTTTTTATAAATTGGTAACTTTTTATAAATTGTGACTTGGATGGAGAGTTGTCTTATTGGCACGCATACAGCATCTTCTTATTTATATAAGACATAGTTTGTGTTGTATCAACAGTTCATTATATACAATTTTGTACCTTTATTTGCAACTCCTCCTTAACCCTTTCTTAGAATTTATGAAAACTCTAAACGATATAATGCTATGGTGTACCTGTTATATTCTTTTTAAATTAGAATCATTTTTGGGAAGTTTTTAGAAATTATAGACATTGTCATTGTTTTATGTGGGGGTAGGGGTTTTCATTTTATGAGCTTTGTTCACAGGACTTTTAGTTGTAATCAGAACTGAACTCCATTTATAGCTACAAAAATAATTTGATTACTTGTTTGTCTATATGACGCTGTAAACTTTATTTAGAATATATAACAAAAAAATAACAGAATTTACTCTTTTTCCTCAACAGGACTTCGATTTGGTCAGCCTTAATGAGGTTTTGTTGCTGTAGACAAAGAGCAGAACCACATTAACATGCTGCATACACACAATTGATTTTGTGGATCTTGAGAATTAGCAGCTGGTAACTGAGGTATCCTGTCCTGCTGTGTGTGGCAAATACTTGACAACTATCCTGGTCCATTTGAACAGTACTGGAGACCTTGGAGGCTAATTATTTGTAATAAATATTTTACATAATGTGTGTGTGTTCCTTTTCATTTTGTCATCCCAATTTCTGTTAACATAATGCTATTCTTGGTGTATTGAATTAAAACCCATTTAAACATTTTTATTCAATCATGTCTCCTAATAGACAAAGGAAAGTGTTTTGTCTTATTAGTGTTTCTTCATTTTTGGTTCTTCTCGTACAATCTTGACTGGGTCATAACTTTTTTTTATATTTGTTTTACATTTGCTTATGGTATTTACCTTAAGACAGTGTGGTGCATATCATCATGGCCTTCATGTGACTTTGACCTCAAGGTCAAAATACTTGATTTGTTTGCCCCCCCCCCCCCCCCCCCTTCTCAACAACAACAGACTTTTGAGAGGGGGATATTATCCCTATATATTAAGAACTGCGATGACAAAACCTTTTAAGTGCACCATAGAATTTGTCTTGATTGGGTTAATTCCTACCATGTCATATCATAAATTGTTGAAAACATCCATTCACTATATATATATTTACAGATTTTTACATGGCATTTTCCCTATCGGCCGTAGTATCAGCCCAAGAATCCCATATTAGGCAAATCAGCGTTTATTACATATGCAAAACCCAATGTATTTAACAAATATGTAATAAATATAAAAATATTTGTTTTGCCATGACAATATCTTTGTAGTACTAGAATTCCTTTTTTTTCACTAGTTTTTTGTTCCAACTAGTGTGTTCTTATAGTTGTTCTTAAAAACAAGAAAAGTTCAGAATGAAATATTAAAGTACTTACAAAGCAAAAAAATGCAAATGTAAAAGTAAAAATGTGGATATTGAACCAGCAAACGCTAACAAAATTAAAATATATAGAGGTCATTGCATAGTATTGAACAAAAGGTACTTGCCCATTTAAGAATAAGAAGATGTGGTTTGATTGCCAATACGACATTTATACCAATCAAGTACTAGTACCACATTGCAAGGCCTGATCAGTCTGAATTCAAAACAGGTGATTATCAAGTCAGCAGAAATGACATAACATTAACATATCTAAAACACAAACTTCTGTTCATGTCTTCAGAAAAAAATCAGATTTCTAAATTACTATATATACGAGGCAAATTTATCATTGAATGCTCCATAAAAAAGATACATGTACCATGCAAATTTGTCAAGTTCATTGTGAACACTTTAGGAGCAATAGATGGAGCTGTGAGCCCCCGTTTAAGTTCCAATAAAAACTGAAAAAGAAGGGGCACAACAGTACAAACATTTGTGTAATGTTATGAAGAATCTGTGAAAGTTTCAACCAATTGCTTTCTCTTGTTTTATAGGAGGAAGAAACTACTAGATGTCCTCCCCATTTGTGGTATTATTACAAAGTCCATGTTTTGATAAGGGAGCCTTGAAAAAGTTTTAATCAAATGCAAATTCGAATTATTTCATTTTAGATGTTGAACTGAATCCTTTTATAAAATAATCAATTTTTTAAAATTTATAATGAGTTATTATTACCTTAAAAATCTCCCAGGGCAGTCGCCATTACTTCCTTGCCTTATGTGTCTTCATTTTTCTGTATAACAATCAAATTGAATGGTGGCATGCATGTAAACGTGAATGTTGAATATTGAATAAGGAGATTTGTTATGATTGCCAATAAGGCAACTATCCACCAGAAACAAATGACGTAGATGTTAGCAACTATAGGTCACCGTACGGCCTTCAACAATGAGCGAAACCCATACTGCATAGCAAGCTTTAAAAAGGCCCCTTCATCACAAAATGTAAAACAATTCAAATGGTTAAAACCAACGGCCTGATGTACATTGATTAATCTCGCAGATTTCTTAATTTCATGAAAAAATATTGTAACACAAAAAACATATTTACACTTTTTGTCGATCAGTTCAATATGTTCAAAGTGTACATCGGCGACTGTGAAACCGTCTGATCAACTTTTTTTGCTCAAATATATTCTAAAATGTATTTTTTCTGTTTTTTTTTTTTATTTTCATAAAATATAGTTTAGTATCTCAAAGGTCTCCAAACATAAAAAAAAACAACTACCAAATAACAAAACATATCCTGTAAATATCCGGGCAATCTGTCATTGCCCGAATTATAGAAATAATATAATTCTGAATTATTATTTTTGCATTTTTTAAAGTAATTTTTTAATGTTCTGTGGTATATTTTAGTAGTTTTGTTATATTTTGTGTACTTCTGGGGTATATTTTGGGTGTTCTGTGGTGTTCTGTGGTGTTCTATTATAGTAAAAAGACGGTCCTACTAAAAAGCGCCCGGGAGCGCCCGGGGAAAAGAAAAAGCGCCCGAGGAAGAAAAAAAAGCGCCCGGGAGAATAAAATAATAATACTTTATAACAATAAATGTTTTCCTGAATAAAAAAAAAATAATCACTGCTTGTTATGTCCTTAATATAACTGGGGATATGTACGATGCTACATCTAAAGTGTGTAGATAGTGTTGTTGCACTTTTACATTTTAGATTTAAAAATTGTGTATAAGTAAGTAAGTAAATATAAACAAGAGTATATAGAAGAATCATGAACGATATTGTCCTCGATCAAAACGTATATTTCGTTATTTAAAAAAAATCCGTGTTAATATTCGCAACTGCATGTAGAACACTTTTCAAAGTTTTGTATTTTATTAAACACACTTGAATTGACGGTGGAAGATCGTGGAAGGGTTTCAACATGCCTAGCTGCCACTAACAAAAGAAAAGTTAAACCCACTGCTAAAGCAAATATGATATTCTGGCCTTGTGGAATATGCCGTAAAAATTGTAAAATTGCAAGCATCTGCTGCGACAATTGTGATGCGTGGTACCATCTACGATGTGAAGAGTTGGAATTGGCAGACTTTGAGATGTTCCTCACAGACAAAAATGTGAATTATTCATGCAAAGGGTGTTTTTCCCATGACCAGTCAGATGAATACACATACACATCAGCTTTATTACGATTGACAGAGGTGAGATTTGTAATATATTATATAAATAATAGAGAGAAAATAATAAAACTTTTTGTTCAGTCAAAAGGTACGCTTATGGAATTTTAATATTTCATTATTCTACCCCCGTTTTCATTTTTAACAATCATATATTATATAATAAGATAAGACTAATTAACAATCACTAACTGTACACACGACACGCTGATTACGGTAATCCGATTAACCACAATCGTTGATATACGTTGTACACTTGGACCATTTAAACTGCTGTTATAACGATACAATATGAACGAGAATGGTGAGAGATTCTTGGTCCTATAAAGAAAATACCGGAAATCTATATTTATAATAACATTTTAGCTTTAAAATATATAATATAAGAAAAAGCGATATCTGGTTCATATGAAGCATTTGAATTCACTGTCTCGTTTGTCATATAATAAAAGACAGCAAAATAACTGGACAATAGTGAAGTCACATGCTTTCTAAACTTTTATCTATTGTCTATTATCTGAATTTGCAAAATACTTGTCTAAAATTAAAAAAAAATCAATGTGCATAACTTATTTCATCGACACAAAGTTGTCTCATGCCAAAACAATATCTATATATTTTCCCCGGGCGCCTTTTCTTTTCCCCGTGCGCTTTTTTTTCTTCCCCGGGCGCTTTTTCTTTTCCCCGGGCGCTTTTTCTTCACCCGGGCGCTCCCGGGCGCTTTTTAGTAGGACCCTAAAAAGACGCTCCGTACAAACGACAACCACTGAATTACAGGCTCCTGACTTGGAACATATACACATTCTGGTCAAAAACTCTGATGTAAAAATTAGAGAAAAAAGTAAGTTTATAACATTAGATTGGTTGATTGGTGGTTAACGTCACTTTCAACTCTATTGGCTATATTGTGGGGATCAATTTTATTTGGTGGATAAAGCCGGATACCCGGAGAGAACCAGTGTCCTTCGGCTGGAAAACTGGCAGTCCTAGACAAGTAAGATTGGAGTCCAATGCACCTGCTCCGTGCGGGGTTCGAACTCGCAACTTCAGTGTTGACAGGCTAGTGATACAGTAGTTGGACTACTTGCGCAACTCTACCACCGAGGTGCCTATACCATTAGATAAAGCACCAGTTAAAAAAGAAAACATCAATTAAGATTGAAAAACAGCCATATTAAGTATACTAAAACTTATTGCAGATACAAAAATATTAAATTCGGATTTTGTAAACTATGCACAAGTATAAAATATAGTATTATTTTGAAAGAATTTCCATTAATTCAGGGATTTAGGATCAATTGTTATGCTCTCGTGTATATGGATCTACAAAATTTATGGCTTTCGGAAACCAGATTTACAACAGCACCTGGGTACAGCTGTACTGATTCCCCATACAAGGACATTCACACTTGATCATGTCTTTACTTTTAACTTTAAACGAAGTGTATCTGTTGGACATGCACAGCAAACTAACAACATCTATAGAAATATAATATTTTCAGATCTATTCACATGATTGAAATCGTCTGTTGATTATCAAACCAGAAGTTCAAAAACAAAGTAATTTCATAGACTGAGGGTTGCCGCGGTTTCTATTGTTTATGCTGTAGAATTCTGTTTACAAGTTTTCGGGGCTTTGTATGTAGAATTTGAACATGATCCCTTTAGAGAGCCCAAGATAATAATAAGCTGGAAGGTTAAATTTTATCAAAAAACTGAATAGCGTGTTGGAATGTAATTGTACAATTATCACAGGGGGTCAGAAATCGAAAATATTACATTGCTTGGATTTAAATGAATATGGAATCAAATGATGTATGATTTCGAGACGGAAACAATTGCCGCACTAAATTTGGGTCAACTGCCACTTGGAAATCGGTATATTGGAAAAGGGTACAAATTGTGCCTTGCAACAGGCCACAGAGTGGCACTCTTCACTTGTGTGAAAGGTATTCAGTAATTTCGTACCATAACCATTTCGTACCATTGCTATTTCGTACCCAAAATTACCATTTCGTACCATTATAATCTTCCATATGGTACGAAATGGTCATGGTACGAAATGGTTATGGTACGAAATGGTTTTTGTTATGGTACGAAATAAGTGGTACGAAATGACTATGATTCGTGTGAAACCAGTCGTTTTACATGGCAAGGCCCAGCCAAATGACTTTTTGCTTTGTTTTTTTTTCCTCAGTTCAAATTATAAAAAAGAGGAAACAATTGAAATAGTTCAGCAGCATTTTTTTTAAATTCAAAAAAAATTTGATGTTCCGTTATTTTTAAAATATATTTTTGATTAATCTATGGAATATATAAATTAAAAATCGTTATGTTCGAATATTGCAAACCGAGAATGGTTGATTGTTTCACAATCACGATTAAAATGGTAATTATATGCTGATAAAATGGTCGATTAATCCTCAAACAGTACAATTCACCAAAGCGCTTTCGTTTTTGAAACAGGGGGTTTTTACATAAAAGTTTTCATGTATACGTAAAGGAAAATGAACAAGGAATCAAATGATGTATGGTTTATGTACTATAAAAGGAATCTATTGCGATTTCGATACAGAAATTTCCCGCTCAATGTCTGGGTCAGCAATTTCCATGTGTTCTTAATGGTGTACGTACCCTGACGTCCCACGGTCCAAGCAAGTTCTTAAAAGACAGTCAGAGCAATCTCGGACAGTCCGCCTACAACCAACCGTTTCATATCAGTTCTCAAAGAACAATTATAAAATAGTTTGATAGTTCGCATTTACAATGTTCACGTTATCAGTAATTTTTAGTTCCGTAAATTGACTCTTAAATTATCAAAATTTCTTTAGAGTTTCCAATATTGATTTAGTTTACCACAGATATTGATAAAAGATGTAACATGTTCACCTTGTATTTAAGATCAGTATTTACCCGCCTCCCTAAAAAAATATACGAATGATCAAGTTGTTATGGAGAGAATATTGATCAATAAAAACATGAAAATAAACGAAGAAGATAAAATGTGATTCTGAAAGGAATAGAAATATGAGCAGTTATCTTTTCGGACAATAGTTTTGTAAAGAATTTTCCAGATAAACATACTTTTAAGGGTATTGATAGTGTGCGCACACCATTTACAGTGTTACAATTATATGGGTCAGTTTAAAAAAAAAAACGTCGAATTTTGAAATTGCTAATTCAAAATTGAATTAAAGAACAACATATAAAAAATGCATTCTCGATAATGTCATACAATATTTTGTCTCTCCTGGTACCATGTTAAAAAAGAAAATTTGGGTTATTTAGAAAATGTTAGGATCAAATGTAATCTTGTTTTTCATGGCCAATAAGATGGTTTTCAAGAATTAAAATTTCTTTATGTTTTCATTCTGTGTAATGATAGATTATTTGTCAATTTTCCATGTTGTACTGAAGCATACCTCTAAAAATTGATCTCCAAAGGTTATAAAAATAACCACCATCTAATATAGCAATTCATAATGTTCAGCATGTCTTTCTCTTTCTAATAAATCCAACATCAAGTAATTTCCTCGCATATTGGTTTTTTTTTTTTGTCGGTTTGTTTTTTGTAACAGGAACGTACGTTAACGATATATCACCATATTAAGTTCTATCCTGTTACCCTTTTTGTCTATCCTGTTACCGGAAGCAGTATTGCATTTAGTATATGCTAAATTGTGAAGATTAAACGTTGTAACCTTTAAATGAGTTTAAATAACCAAACATTTCATTATGTGTAAAATCATATGTAATTATATACTTTCTAAAGACGTTTCGGTCAAATAGTGTCTATCCTGTTACTGTAACCATAGGAACCATAGTAACGGGATAGACAAATTTCTTCATTTATGAATGCTGTTGTGAAATTACTACTCCCTTTGATGCCATGATAACGTTTTTCTGTTGTGATTTTGGTTTTCGACACGTAATTGCACTTTTTTCAAGTATACTATTGTTGTAATTAATAAGTTTGGCATAGACATGATAAAAGGGTACCCATAATTTTTTTTTTCATTGAATGTCTTGAATTTTCTTTTCTCTATACTATTACGCAAGACACGTGCTGTGTTAAATTTTTAGGGTGTTTTGTGCTTTTGAAATCATCATTGAAAAGTTCAATATTCATCATGTTCTTAGGGAGAAACAATTTAACGGTTGATCTAGTATCGGAAACAGCATAGACATGCATAACATACACGCCGATTGGTTTAGTTTGTAGAAACAAATGTTACATGGAATAAAAAAATAAGCTCTGATATTCCGATAGAGTTATCATTAATATTCTATTCTTTTTGCAGATGTCAGGGCAATCAGAAAATATGAAGAAAAAAAAACATTTCAAATTTGTTACCCTAGCTGACACTGCCTACGAACATAAATTACGCAAAAATCGGACTTAAATATATTTTAATCTTATCAACATAGATCTAAATCGTGTTTATTATTATTTTTGCTCCAACTCATAAATCCTGCAACTTTCATTTAAACACTTACAACTGCATTTTCCATTAAAAATAATTTTGTTAGCATAGGTGTATTGAAAATTCGACATTTTTTTTTAAATGACCCATATCACTAAATTTAACAGCTGTAAGATGTATTACTATATAGAAATAAGGAGATGTGGTATGATTGCCAATGAGACAACTATCCACCAAAGTTGAAAATGAAGTGGATGAAAGCAGGAACATATATATTGATATATTAGATATACTGTTCCCAGATGAAAGCAATTATATATTAAGGATAAATAGCAAATATAAATTAGAATTTGTATTTACATCAGGATTTCGTTAAATGAAATTGAATACCCTGCATTTATCATTTTTTTCAATAACAGATGATCAAATCGCCGATAGACCCTCTCCTAAATTATTGAAAACTGACATTCTGCATTGTAAAAAATATCCTGGTGTAAATTACATACACCAATTCGGTCTAACGCCCTCAATGTGTATCTAATACATACATGTATAAAATATGTAATTGATAGGCTTCTGAACTTCCCCTACCGTACCAGTGAAGATACAAGATATGTATACCTTCCGCCCTTGATAAGACCTCAATGCGTATTGCTTTTAAAATCTATGTACAAAATCAATACTCTTTATCTGGCTGCGCATGTGTATTGCTTTTGAAAAAAGTTGTCGGTACGTCAAGTTGCACATTTTTAATATTTTGATATATATATATATTATATATATATATGTTACGCTTTATTCAATGTTATAGTTACAAGCAAGTTTGAAGTGACATTTCACGGAGAAGCCATGTAAAGCCAAAGGATGTTATATATCCCAAGAGAATAAGACGGTAACATTTATTTAAAAGTTATATGAACTTGTCAATGAAATTAAGTGTGTATTTCCTTTTAGTTTTTCTATTTTTAGACGAAAATGGTTGACATGAATATGAAAGTCCATTATTTTCTGAAGTCTGTATTTAATTAACATATGTTTGGTACAAAACATGCCGGTCTTAAAACATATTGTCAATATATATGTAACTTTATGCTAACTTATTTTTTTCATTGTTTTTTAGCCAAGGCCCCACGTCCCGTCTCCCATCAAATTTTGTTTTTGTTTGTAAAATTTAATTTGGGCCAACTTTAATTAAAACGTCCTACTATATTACGGCAAGCCGTTTTTATATTTACTGAATTACAAGATATCTTAAAAAGTATATAAGATATCTTGTATTCTATTAAAGATATCTTATTCAATTTGAAGTTAATATGATATCTTATGTAATTTGAAGTTAATAAAATATCTTATATACTTTAAAAGATATTTTATTAATTTCACAAGATATCTTGTTACCTAAACAAGAAATCATATATTGTTTAAAAAATATCTTATATAGTTTTAAATAGATATTTTTAAACTAATACTTATGATCTTGTATAGTTTATGAGATCCCTTTATTATCTAGATCATAATATATCTTATTAACTTTATAAGATATCTTATAAGCAATACAAGATATTTTATATGATTGATTTATCAGATATCTTATTTAGCATCATCTCCTTATTTTTATACATGTTTATTTAAACAAGTTTCCCTAATCATTCAATAAGTAACAGGAAACATTTTAGAAGATTGATTCTTTCCAAAATTTGTATGACTAATTTTCATTTTGTAAAACAGAAAGTAGATTTCCAGAAAACCTGTCTCTAAATAAGCATATATATATATATATATATATGTATAACATTAAAAGGTTGACTAAGTAGAATGAAGATTGGTTAGGAAGATTCCCAAAATTGAAGGTTATCACATGCAAAACTAATCGCCATACAATAGGTGTAGATATAAGAAAGAAGAAATTCTAAACCTACATTTCAAGATTATGATTGACTTTGGTACTGAATCACCTTTTAGGTTGATTTAGTCTGTTAAATATGTTTAAAAGGAGATCTGAGTTAAAAAAAATCAATCGACAAATAAATTTGATGATTACTGAGTGATATTAAAGTCTGGGGATACGTGAGTTTTATAAGTTATAATTGGTGTAAGACTAGTTTCAGTAACTGTCAATCGGTACTTTATCTTTTTGATTGTTGGTTTTTTATGCCTTGTTGAGTTGAACCATTTTCAATATATCTTTATAATTCATTCTTATGTTGTACTGTTTTGTAACTTTTTTTTCATGCATACTCTAGCCAAAATCACGACTCTGCACCCAAGCGACATTACATATCCAAGTGATAATACAGTCGAAAGTTGTTTACCGACAAGTGACCGTACAGTGAAAAATATTTAGTGACATGTGTTTTTAAAGATTTAGAACTATTTGTGAGTGTAAACATATTGAAGATAAATTTGAGGAAAAACTATATATTAATTCTTTTTAAACATCTTACAAATTTTGAAAACAATTCTTCTATTATAAGTCAAAACTTCAGCTGAACGAACACAACTATATCCATAATTTGGGTCGGAGCTCTTAGTTTTATTTCAATTTCCCCCCTGTTTTCTTGCCTTAAGAATGGGTTCGGCACCCCTCAATGTTTGAATAGTAATGACAGATACAAACGTTTTCTCATATACATTACAAGTAAGCCCCAGAGATAATAATGAAAAAAAAACACGTATCCGAAAATTATTTCGAATGTCGGAGCCCCGCTTGACAGTCTCCAGAATGACCACAATATAAAAAAAAACATACAGTTGCGTTCCCACATTGTGTTTATTAAATAGAGAACATAAACATTTATAGCTTTTTTTTTAAAATTTTAATACCTTTTTAATCACATCGATGGCTTTAATGAGGGTAGCGATACACTTTACCGTCAGGCGCCAAACGGTCATTTTCGGCCTACGTCGCTAAATAGCGACAAAATGGTTAAAGTTTTATCGTGATTCGTCAAAATATCTTTATCGTACGGTAGCAGAAGGCTGCCATGTAAGAAAAAAATACTGTTCCCTCAAGATACTTTGTCGTTCCCTCAAGATGCTATGCCGTTCCCACAAGAAAGTGTTATCGTTCTCTCAAGATATTATGTCGTTACCACAAGATAGTTATCTCGTTCCCTTAAGATGCTATGTCGTTCCCTCAAGATGCTATGCCGTTCCCACAAGAAAGTTTTATCGTTCTCTCAAGATATTATGTCGTTCTCACAAGATTGTTATCTCGTTCCCTCAAGATGCTATATGCCGTGTCCACAAGATAGTTATCTCGTTCTCTCAAGATAATACGTCGTTCCCACAAGATAGTTATCTCGTTCTTTCATAGCCGCATATTGCCACCGTATTCTCGAGATTCAGAGATCTCAAATAATTATTTGTTACCGTTATTTTTGGAGAAAAAAAAAATTGTCAAAAGCAGTCGATTTTTTTTTTATCTTCATTAAGAAAATGGTCATGCACCGAAAATTACAGTTAATGTCATTTGACAACAATTTTTTTACCGTTATTCGTAATGAAGGTATCCCCATTACGACCCTCTTTTACATGGCTTTCGCCGGCTGAATAATGTTTTCACAATTTTTGTCGAGCCTTCGACTTTTGTCGAAAAAGCGAGACATAGCGATCCTACATTCCGTCGGCGTCGTCGTCGTCGTCGTTGTCGTCGGCGGCGTCCACAAATATTCACTCTGTGGTTAAAGTTTTTGAAATTTTAATAACTTTCTTAAACTATCCTGGATTTCTACCAAACTTGGACAGAAGCTTGTTTATGATCATAAGATTATATTCAAAAGTAAATTTTGTAAAAAGAAAATTCCATTTTTTCCGTATTTTACTTATAAATGGACTTAGTTTTTCTGCCAGGAAACATTACATTCACTCTGTGGTTAAAGTTTTTGAAATTTTAATAACTTTCTTAAACTATCCTGGATTTCTACCAAACTTGGAAAGAAGCTTGTTTATGATCATAAGATAGTATCTAGAGGTAAATTTTGTAAAAAAAAAATTCCAATTTTTCCGTATTTTACTTATAAATGGACTTAGTTTTTCTGCCAGTTAACATTACATTCACTCTGTGATTAAAGTTTTTAAAATTTTAACAACTTTCTTAAACTATCCTGGATTTGTACCACACTTGGACAGAAGCTTGTTTATGATCAAAAGCTAGTATCTAGAAGGAAACTTTGATAAAATTTTGTTCCATTTTTCCGTATTTTACTTATAAATGGACTTAGTTTTTCTTCCAGTTAACTTTACATACAGTCTGCAGTTAAAGTTTTAAAATCATTTATTAGATTCAAATACCATCCTGGATTTTTACCAAACTTGGACAGAAGCTACTTACAATCAAAAGATAGTATAGAGAGGAATATTTTTATTAATTTTTTTCCTCATTTTTGTTGAGCCTGCGATTAACAGCAAAACTAGGCGAGACACTGGGTTCCGCGGAACCCTTACGAATTTTTTAGTTCCATTTTCACAATGAAGCGAGAGAAATTTTATTAATTAGAAAGATGTACAAATGTATACTATATCATTTGAGCTTAAAGTTTACTTGGCTGTTGATGGAGACCTTACATTTCAGCAAAATAGATATAAGAAGATGTGGTATGAGTGCCAATGAGACAACTCTCTTGTAAATATGTATACATTTTGGAGTCTCTACAATCTTATGTCAGAATTACACAACGATTCAAAACATGCAATTAAAATGATCAATTCTTAATTTCTCTCATTCCAATCCAGACCAGTCTTTTCATTTTACATGTACTTATTTCCACCCTTTTTGTCAAGCCTGCGAAATTTATTTATAAAGCGGGACATACCGATAATTGATTACGTCGTCGGCGTCGGGGTCAACATTTCGGTACAGTCTGTGGACCCTCTGTGATTAAAGTTTGTTTGAGACATCAATAACTTTGTCAACCCTTCGTATAATTTCATGAAATTGGACAGAAGGTTGTTTATGACCAAAAGACAGTATCCATATAAGATTTTTTTTTTTAATTCTGTAGTTTACTGATAAATGGACTATTTTTTTAGTTAACATTACACTTTTACGCTGACAGCAGCATAAAACCGCGAGACAAAGGGTTTCGAATTTTTTGATAACATGTATTCCTTTCGGTTATCGTCATTATAAAATATTTTTTCTTTGTTCATATTTATAACCATTTTGCTACTTTTGCAGATAAGATATGTTTAAACTAAATGGCTTTCTTTAAATTATTTATATCGTTCCTTTCTCATTGTTTTAAAACTTTAAGGCACTAGTATCAAGGTTCTTTGGCTATCGTAGTACTACCATTTCATTTTCATAGTAATAATAACATTTATTGTTGCACACCCGAAATTTGATTGTTCAAGTTCCAATTTTATGTATATTTTTCGTCTGTTGTGTAGGTAAGGAACAAATATATCCGTGTACATCACAGGCACTTGTTTCTGTCATTTGGAAGGTCAACTACTGTGGATTAATTCATTTTCGTGGCTATCAATGTTCGTGGATTCAGGAAAAAATGCATTTTATTGATATTTATTTCGTGGTTTTGCCAATTTATGCATACAAAGCCTATAGAAAAAAAATAATTCGTTGACTTATATTATTGGTCCAACTGTACCCACAAAAGCCATGAACATTGGTATCCAACGAATAATGTTGAATCCCGCACAGTATCAAAATATCTGACAAGTTTTTTTGTTTTTTTTAAATATACCCTCATACCCTTCCCATATCTTTTTGAAAGAGTGCTGCTTTTTTTTGCTAACAGCTACAGATTTAGATAGTTTCAAATGCCCTCGTGGAATAAAAATTAAAAACAAAATATTATTAATATTTCAACCGGAGTTATTATAATTAGACAAACAAGCACTCCCTGCCAAAACGCGGACGTGACAGAAGAC